GGTGGTACTGGGGGCAGTACAGTGTCTTTCTGGTGCACCATATTGGTTAGAAATGTCTTGCTGGTGTGGTGGACCAGCCCAGCCTACTTTCCATTGTGAGAAAGTGTACCAGAATCTGATCACAAGGATTCCATCTGGATCAAATTCTATTAACCTCCATTTCTGTAAGTCCTGCCTACCTCTGCAAATAATCTCTTTGAAGTCAATGACTCCGCAGAGTAATAGTATGAGGAACCTGGCCCTTAAGGATAGATAGATTTTTGGCACCCTTTAGTCATATTGAACTTACTCAGCACTGGATTCTCCCACTTTTACTCAGACTGAATTATTCTGTGAGTGGCCTTAATTGACTTAAATTATTATTTCTTAGGACTATTTACAAAGGAAGGTGGTATATTCAGTGTAAGCAAATGTGGCAAAACCTGGAATTTAACACATTGTGAAGAAATTATGTGGATTAAATTCTGCTCCTAATTTCACCCCTGCATCCTTCAATTTTATACAACTTCAGTCTTTCACAGTTCAACAAGGCCTAAATAACTTCAAACACACCCATCTGCTGTCTTCTGCAATGAGTGTAACTAAGAATAGATTTTGGACAACATATGTTGTACTGGGATGAATCAACTGGTCTTATGCCTATTCATGTGTACATGCATCTTGATTAACTTGCTTTATATTATTTCAATTAAGATGATCAAGAAAGGGACAATGACAATAGACAAACAAAAGGAACTATTTTCTGCTTCACCCTAGCCAACAAAAAGCTTGTCTTTCACCCTTTGCTGTCTGATTATATTAAAAAAGACTGTTTCTCATTTGTTTGTCTACTGGCTGAACTTCTCTTTCAGCTTCACCGACAAACTGTCTGAATCATTCTTATAAAAATGGCTTTAAAAAGTTTAGCTGGCTATGCTGCATAGTTGTTTTAAATTTTCATTTTGTTTTGAAACTACAGCATGACTCACTTCGAAGACCACATGGCTCTTGAAACTCTGAGACAGTAATTTCTCCCCCCTCCAAAAAAAACTCTCAACCTTTAAATCTTTACAGTGCATTGTTATGATGCCATGGGTGATACTTTTAGTCACACGTACACATTCTCACCTCTGTGTTTAACCTGTTAACCTCAGCACAGCAAGAACCACTTCATAAGAGGGAAAAAAAACCACTAACAGCATGACATACAATGCAAGTTCAAAGGGCCAGGTGACCCTTTGTTTTGTGTGAGTGCACTTTACAGCACTTCCTA